TTATAAGTATTGAGGACACGCCGGTCTGCCTCTGACTCTTATTCCGGAATAAATGCTGAAAAAGATATGTTTCTAATAGTTAATGAAAAAAAATGAAACCACATTTACAAAGTTAAGGGAAGGAGGACTCCCAAACGGGGAAGGCCTATCTCTAACCGAAATAACTGAAATTCCGCATTTTCAGTTTATTTAGCATTTAAAAGAGTATCACCTTCTCAATTTATTCTTTTGCCAGTAAACCGGGAGTGCATTTCTACCGACCAGCTGTTCCAGCTTCCGTCTTGATTATGAGTGTACAGCAGAAAGTTACCTTTTTTAACAGAAAACTTCCAAATTTTTTCCCCGGGTCAGCGTCTGAAAGGCTTTTAATCTGAAAATAAAAGGCTCTGATCTTCCACGCTATAGAAAGTTGTTTCCGCGGAAAGTTTTATTTTCAATTCTCGTTATTTTTTATTGCAGATAGTGTAGGCTCTCATAAACTGGCGGAAGGCAGGGATTGCGGACGTCTAAGAGAAAGCCTCACGGATAGAGACATGCTTCAATGTTCCCGCTTCCCAGCCCCGGTTACAATTTATGATCAAGCCTCTCCGACCGGATAACAACGTTGCTACGCATGACCTTGGACTATTATTTGCAAAGAAATGTCTCCAGGCCTGGACCTCGGTTTCGCCGGCCTAGCAACGACGTAATACAGCTGCTAAGTTTGTATCCTTGGCGCAAGAGGATCAGCGTCAATGTTAGACTTGTTTGATCAAAGTAATGCCTCCTGCACTCACTCGCATTACCAAATCACACGATCGGTACAATTCATCCAAGACTGAAATGAAATGGGTTCACCTCGTAGACATCATACTTCCCAGCATCTGACCGTGGACTTGGTACATTCTCAGACGTCGACATCATCAGCACCAGGTTACAAATCGTCAAAGAGACAATTCAAGTCAATGCCTCAACCAATGATCTGCTGAAACGGTTGCGCTATAACTCCTCTTTTTGTCCTGGCCCATCTATCGACGCCTCAACCTCTTATCCCATTCCTGCGCTTATCACACCTTTTGACTTGTTTATATTCCAGCTCTTAAGAGGTATGGCGTCATCACAGCTGCCATGTGAGATGTTTGTCTTGCCGACGCATCCCTCTCGATTTGCTGATCCGACTGAAGCCTCCATTCCGGATCTGCCGCATGGACCTCACTCGGATCCAGTCCCACTGTACCATTTACTCCAGACGATAATCCTCAAGCCCTTAGAAACAGGTACAGAGCGTCTAGGCTCTGAATGCCATGCCTGCAGGTGTCAGACATTGTCTTCACGGGTCGTGTCCTTGAGCAAACTGTGAACACCTTCCTCTGGTCCTGGTCATATGCTGCATTTCAAGCGCATTTCTGGTACATTTCTGAAATGGTTGTAGGTGATCGCTAGGCCCACAAAATTGTACTGGTTTCAGCGAGCACACTTCACACATCGACAACGTTTTCCTCGTGATACCTTATCCTCGGGTTAACGACAGGCCCTTGATCCAGATGTTTCCTCTTTGCTGGTCTTGCTGTACTCTGGTTTTCCCCGAATTTGCTTGGGCAGCAAGCAAAGGGTTCACCAACTCTACATTCTTCCAATCTGCCGTTCATTACATTTTTCTCCACAAGCATGACCATGGCCTCGCTAATTTTCCGCTTCCTTGTGTTGTCACCGTGTGAGGCTCTTCTTTCTGTTGCCGTCCAATTGATCTCGTGTCCAGTCTGTGCGATGTGTTCTGCTAGTTCGGATCTTTCGGTATCCATTTTACTGCAGAGCCTCTGATGTTCCTAATTTTTCTCCCTGTTTCGCCAGATTATTTCTGCTCGCAGGCGCCGCATGAGGTACAGCAAACTGCTGAACAATCTAATTTATCTACCCTTTCATGTTGCGTCGGTGGACTTGTGAAAAGAGTTGATTTCTCTTTCATGGCCACACGAATATTCCATTTACTCAATATTGGCTGTAGTTTTGGAGTTAGTTCGTCCTTACTGTTCTTTCATAGTCCCCGTTCTGCCATCGGCTTTTCACGGCCCGTGTGTTGCTTTGTATCACTTGGTTATGGTAGCCATTGCCGAGCAAAATCCTAGTCAAAGGTATGAATACCAAGATGGTGTTGGCTTTTGTGTGGTCGCAGACTTCTTTCGTTGTATACAAGTTGTTTGACCTTGCTTTCGCAACTTGGTCATATTGACAGGAAGACGCAGCTAGTCCGGAGTCCATTGTCTGCATGATCATTTCCAACGTCGAACCGTGGAAGTGGTACATTCCCAGACGTTCCGCCAGCATCGTACTCGGCACTGTTAGTTAGTCTCGCCAGTCTTAGCACCATTCATCAACTCGTCAAAGAGACAAGTGAAGCCGATCCTTTGACCAAACGTGTGCTAAACAGTTGTGGGCTATTCACATTTCCTATATCCTCCTATCACGCGGCGGAGACTGGATCTAGTCGACTGACGGTAGGTTCGTTTTTACAAGAGGCGTGGTCCATGTTGCAAAGGGATGACCATAAGACTTACTCAGAGGCTTGAGCCTCGAATTAGTCTCGAGGCTACCAGTAAATCAGTAATATGAAATGTATTCACCAAATTTCGTTTAAGGTGATAAAAGACTGGTAGTAGAAATTGCCCACAATGCTATGAGTAGTGCTGGTGTTTCCATTCAATTTCGCATAGCCTTGCTTTCCCAAAAGTTATTTTAATCCAGACAGAAGTGGACTACAGTTTCGACCTCGCATCAACTGGTCTTATCAACACCCCCAGCGGGAGTCGAACTGTGACACATTAATCACTCGGCCACATTGCCACGAGTGCCTTTGGGTGGCAGGGCAGATGTCAATTTCAAGGAAGATCAGGCCCTTTTGCATATCACATTCTTTGGTGTTATGGCAAAATCGACAATCCCACCAAAGATGTGATATGGCAAAAGGCCTGGCATTCCTTAAATTTCACACCTGCCCCGTGACCCAAGGTCACTCGTGGCAATGTGATCGAGTTGTTAACGTGTCAAGCTCCCATTCTGCACTGTCATGGTTCGACTCCC